TTTTTTGGGGGGGTTCGGGTTTTTTTGAGCTATGGTCAAACTTTTGATCAGCTGAAAAAAATCATGTTTGAGTGTAAATGCAGTTTTCAGACAATTCCCTGCTCAAAATTTCTTGTCTCTTGCACTGATTTCTTCTTTTAACATTGTGAAGCTCTACTTAGACCCTTCTTAAGATCCAATAGTGCAAAATGCAAATTCTTGCACTTTTTTGACTGGTCTTAAGAATTTGATCAGGAGTGTATATAATTACTTTTAAACGCTACTTTTATATAATTTTAGATTTTATTGTTTCTTCATTATTTGTTTTTTCATTTTAACACATTTTAATTATTTGTATTTTTTGGGGGGGTCAGCTTTGGTCTTCCATACAGCCTTCTCTCTGTAGATTGCGCACCTGAGGGTCGCTCGAAACTCGCCTCCTGATTGGCTGACGGGACACCGCGTGCTCACAGTCAAAGCTGAGCTGTTGTCTGCGGTGTGAGGGAAGTGTCGGTCGGGCTGGGTGACAGCCACATTCGTGCAAATGATCTCGTCCACGGGGGTCGTCAGTCATGGAGCTTCTCGTTCGTTATTTGGATAGAAGCAAGCCTGTCAGGTAGGTTCGCTGCGTTAAAACCTGCTGCAGGACTTTAAGTTATTTAAATGAGGATGACCCGAACTCCTGGGTGGACTTTAGTCAAAATGAAAAACTAAATGTTTTTTGTTTTTAAATAAGATTCAAAAGGAACTTTTTAGTTGGTTAAAAGGCGACCGAGTTGATGAGTTTTTACCTGTAAAACGTAGTTTATAAAGTTCAGAAAGAAAATCCAGTTTGAGATTTGTGTACTGTCTGTGGCTGTTGTTGGCAAACTTCAGGGGAAATATTTAAAGTAGGCCTTCACTCACTGAACCAACCTTGGACTTGACCCCAGTTTACTCTCTGAATGCAAGCTCAGATGTTCAGCACATAATGTGTACTGAACACAGAACTGTATTATAGATTTAATATAGATTTAGAAGAACTAAAAACCTGTTTCCTGTGAAATTACTGCTTTCTCACATTTTCACTTCCTCATTTTTAGCCTTACAGTCATTACACCCCCCTTCACAGGCACATTAAAAAAAAACTTTCTTGCACACTTTATCTCAAGTCTGCAACACTTGTGCACAAGTTTCTGTTTGTCATCTGCTCCGGTGTGATGTTACTGTTTTTTTTTTTGTTGCAGCACTGACATGACTCAAGATCTAGTCAAGGAGGAGGAGAGCCTGAGAGATGACCTGAGGTACTACTTCATGAGCCCGTGTGAGAAGTACCGGGCCCGACGACACATACCCTGGAAAATGGGGGTCCAGATTCTAAAGATCGTCATGATCACAACGCAAGTATGTGCAGCGGACTCTGAGTGGTTAGACAAAAAAAAAAAAAAAAAACTGGAAAATGCGTCCTGGGATTATAAGTGTGCAAGCAATCATCGTGACGTCATTGATTCATCTGTCACATCAAGCCTTTAAATTTAAAATCTTAGCCATCAGCATCTTAGATTTATGACTTCCTAATGCAGACATGTCGACTCGGACGGCTTTAAGTAGCTGCATCCTGCAAAATAAAAACTTTTGACCTCTAACGACAGGTTTTACAATTCATAGACCCTTTATGATTTGAATGATGAGTAGCAGTGTCAGCTATATATTTATGTAACAATTATAGTATACATCATTTTAGCCAAAAGGTAGCTGATCTATGAAGTCTACAAAAAGTTTTACTAAACTTTTTTTTAAATTATTAAAGAAAACTTAAAGCAGGCCAATGCAACTGAATTGCTCCGGGGGCCACAGTTAATGCAGGCCAACAGCTCAGGGGCCGAACACCCAGAAATTAGTCTTTATGTAAATAAACCAAATATTACAAAGATCTGTTACCTTTGAATTAGTTTATTTTGCTGCATTTAATCGTGAATGCTGTGTAATAAAAGTGGTGATAATAAAACAATGTCAGAAACAAAAATAACACATTAAGCCTCCTATTTAACACAAATGTTATTTTATATGAATTGTCTGACTTGCCAAAATTTAAAAACAATTTTATTTTCACTTTCATGTTTTATCTTCAACTGCTTGTAGTTTTATAATAATAAT